TTGGGGAAGTTTCTTGGCTTCTGGATCTGGATCTGTTTCCTTCCCCAGATTTGGGAGATTGTCAGCTATTCTTTTTTTCAAATAAAGTTTCTGCCCTCTTATCCTTCTCTTCTTTGGAGATCCCCATAATGTCGATATTCTGATGCTTGCTTGAGTCACTGGGTTCCCTATGACTGTTACCAATTTGCATAAGTTTCTTTCCTCTTCTTTGCTCAACTTAGTTACTTTCCATTGCTCTGTCTTCCAGGTTGTTAATTTGTTCCTCTGCTTCATCTAGCCTATTTATTCCATGAAGTATTTTAAAATTTCGTTGTGTTCTTGATCTCTGGTTTTTATCTTGATCTGGTTTTATCTGTGTTAACGGTCTCACTGATGTCCTCCACTCTTTTCTCCAGTCCACTGTCTTTATGATCATTAAATTCTCTATCAGGCATATAACTTATATATATTTTGCTTTGATCTCTTACTGTGGTTTGGTTCTGTTCTTCCATTTGTGAGATGTTTCTCAGTCTCCTCATTTTGTCTGATTTTCTGTGTTAGGTAAGTCAGCGACTTCTCTTGCTCTTAATAACAGCCTCATGAAGAAGAGGTCCTACAGTGCCCTTCAGTGCAGAGTCCCCTTCCCCAGGGCCTGGTACCTCAGGGAGTGTCTTCTATGTATGTTGTATGTGCTCTGCTGTTGAGTCTTGGCTTCTTTTCCCTTCAGTCTACTTGTCTGCAGACACTCTGCCTATTGTGGGCAGTGTTTGGTGGGGCATGTTTTAACATGTAACATTTTAATGCAGTGATCTACTTGTGAAATGACACCTGCCCCCAGCACTGCAAGAACCGAGGTCCCACAAGGTGTACGGTTCTGGAGATACAGTGTTGGCAGAGTTTGCACAGATCTTCCAGGGGACCCACAGTTTAAGAACCAAGATGAGCTAGACTGGGAAGGGCAGATCTGCTGAAGCATGGGTGGTGGGGGGGCTCAATGCAAGCAAATTATTAAGGAGTGTTGGTGCTGCACTGGTTGCCCATTGTTTTATGCTGCAGAGTGGAAGAGAGAAATGGCACCTGCCAGCTCCTTTGTCCCTGACTCCTGGAGAAGTGTCCCCGTGAACCATCTGTCTGGTCATGCTCTGTCATCAGCAAACCACTCTTCCTTCTATCGGACTCCAACATTTTTCAAACTACTGGTTCTGTGCTATATCTGCATGTCCTGTTTGTTGAGCTGTCTCTTTAAGGACAGGGACTCAGCTTCCTGATGCCCTTGGGGCTCCACCAGAGCTAAGGCCACAGAATTTTTAAATTCCCAGCTTTAAGTCACTGGTTTTAAGAACTCCTGAAATGCAGTCCTTCTTACTTTCAAACGCAAATATTATGGAGATTCGGCCTCCCCACTTGTGGGGTCCCCAGTGTGAAAGTCTGGTTTTCACCCTTCATGCCACCAACTCCCCCTCCCCTCCACCCACAGTGGTTGACCATGGTCTGTTTTACTCCCAGACTGTGTTGTTGCCTTTCCCACCTTCTTCAGCATGGCCTCTTGCCAGGCTTTAGTGGTGGAATTTGTTCTGCCGGTCTCTGAATCGTTTTCGAGGTTATTCACACTGTTATGAATGATATCTAGTTGTATGTGTGGGACAAGGTGAGTGTAGAGTCCTCCCATTTGGCTCCTTCCCAGCTGACTGTTGGCAGCTTTTTTCTTTCAGCACGTTGAATACATCAGCCCACTCTTTCCTGGCTGTAAGATTTCTGCTGAGAAATCTGAAAACAAGATGAGATTCCCTTTAAGTTACAAACTTCTTTGCTCTTGCTGCTTTTAACACTCTTTGCTTTTCGGTAGTTTTATTATAATGCATCTTGGAGAAGGTCTCTGAATTTGGAACCGCATGAACTGTATGAACATGGATATCCAAATTTCTCCTCAGATTTGGGAAGTTTTTAGCCATTATTTTTTTTTAAAATAAGGTTTCTACTGCCTTCTCCTTCTCTTCTCCTCCTGCAACTCCAATAATTTGCAAATTGTTTCTTTTGATGTTATCCCATAGATCACATAGGCTCTCATCACACTTTTTCATTCTTCTTTCTTTGTTCTCCCCTGACTGGATAATTTCAGAGTTTCCATCTTTTAACTCACAGATTCTTTTTCCTGCTTGTGCCTTTGGTGTTGGTGCTATTGTATTTTTCATTTCATTCATTGTATTTTTCTACTCCAGAGTATGCTTCATCCTTTTTAGGATTTCTCTTGTTAAACTGCTCCCTTTGTTCATGTATTGTTTTCCTGATTTTGTTGACTTGTCTCTGTGTATTCTTGTACCTTACTCAGCTTCCTTAAAACAAGTATTTTGATTTATCAGATAAATCACAGGTCACCATGTCTTTGGGTTCAGTTACTGGAGGATTATCATAATCTTTTAGTGGTGTCCTAGTTCCTTGATTTCTCATGTTCCTTAAATTTTGCATTGTCTTTGTATTTAAAGAAGTAGTCACCTCCACCAGTCTTGACTGTTTCGGGGAAATATCTTTGGTCACCTCTGGTAGAAAATCTGAGACTGTCAGACTGCCTATGGATATGACTGCTCCATGCCTCTTGCTGCCTCCTGTGGAAGAATTCTTGTAAATTTGAGTGTGTGTGTGTGAGCGAGGGAAGGACAGAGAGAGGGGGAGACACAGAATCTGAAGCAGGCTCCAGGCTGTCAGCACAGAGCCTGATGCAGGGCTCAAACCCACAAACTGTAAGTTCATGACCTGAGGTAAAGTAGGACACTTAATCAACTGAGCCACCCAAGCACCCCTCTTGTGGTAGAATTCTTACATTTGTATGCCTTCTCTTGATTTTGCAATGGACCAGCCTTGGTGTGGACAGTCTTTTTGCTTTCCCAAGGGTAGGGCTAAAGCTCAAGTTTGTGGCCTCTCTGGCCCACAGATTTGGGCAGGCCTTTTGTACATGCTCACTAGCTGTCTGCCAAAGTATGCTTTCAATGCTGTTGGGAGTACACACAGAGAGCCAGCCACAGAGGGTGTGTGTGTGTGTGTGTGTGTGTGTGTGTGTGTGTGTGTGTGTGTGGTGTGTGTGTTACGCATGGAGCACTGAGGGTTTCCCATCGGCTAGTCAGGGAGATCCAGGCATTCCCCAGAAGACCATAAGCCAGCTTCTTAGTGGAGACTGAGATGCAGTTAGTAGACTATATATACCTTTAATGACCTCCAGAGTCATATCTGCTACCCTCCCAGCTTCCTCCCATGCCCTAGTCACACAGCTGCTGATTCCATACTCTGAATGAGATGAGTGAAATAGGGGGCCTCGTTGGCAGCATTCTGAAAAGGTAGGGAAGCTGGACACTCTCTCACTTCCCCCAACAGGAGAAATCACAAGCTGAGATCTCTCTTGGCCTGAAGTCGTTCCACCGTGGGTGAGAAGTGATGAGGCTAAACTATTCCTCTTCGATGCGTCTAAACAAACATTTTTTTGCTTCAATGGTGCGCTGAAACTTTTCTGCTGGTAACTTTCACTTACACACAGCCTCCCTTGTCCATGGGCTACTGCCAAATATTTACGGTTTCCCAGGGGTTTGAAGACTGCAGCTGAGAGGGGCTAAAGCTTGTTCACAGGTCACTGCTGGGTCCAAGCCAGCACCTTGGTCTGTTTATTACCCAATTAATGGGTGGGCAAGATTCCTCCTGGGTTGCTTGTGTATGTTGCTGGATCCTAAAGCTCCCACAAAAGCATTTTTGCCTATGGATGGTTGCCAAATTATTGGGAGGCTGGGGAAGGGGCACAAATGAGGACATGTTATTCAGCCATGTTGTTGACATCGCTTTCTGAAGTTGGGTTGTCTTTTGTAAGGATAACTGGATGGCTGGGAAGAAGTGGAATATTCACTCTTCTCAGTGGTCAAATTTCTGTTCTCTTTGCTTTGTCCCCTCTAAGTGCAATTTCTTTCAGTTATGAAGGCTGTAAGTTCAAGATCAAGGTATGGGTAGGTTTGGTTTCTCCTGAGGGCCATAAGAGAAGGGTCCGTTCCGGTAAATCTCTTCGGCTTGCAGATGGCCACCTTCTTGCTCTCTGGGCTCTCAAAATTCTATGTATTCTTAAAGCTCTTCCATAGCTAGCTGACAGACACCAGTATTTCACATCCTGGCATTAGTTTTAAGACATTAATTCCTCTAGCTACTGGAATCAGTGAAGAAAAATGTATGTCAAAACCAGCTGACAATGTTTCACAAGTAAGGATTTAAATTCAAAGACCGCTATTAGGTTTAAGGGCAAAGCACTGGCTCCTTTGGGCACCTGCTGGAGGCCTCAAGGGATCTCCTCCAGGCCCTTGATGACCCAAGCAGCTGAACTTGTCTACTCCTTCTCCTGGGCTAAAGTCGCTCAGAATCCAAACACAAGCCTTGCAAGAAGTGGTAATAAAATATTGTGGACATGAACCACTTTACAAGTGATCTTTATGTGCGTCAAACACACAAGCAGGCCCATTTATTATGATTTATGTTATTTTGGTGGCACTTTTGGGCACACGACTGGCCATGCTATAATGTGGTTCTGTGCCAGTCTTCCTCACTGGACTGTGAACAGCTCTTGTCTTCCTCAGCAGAGGATCCCAGGCACTCAGCAGAGGTCCTGTTCCTCCATAGGTTCTGCACAGAAGTTTACTCAATGAACAGGGTAGGAAATTATCCCCTTCTCCTTTTGCCTACACTCCATGAGAGTATAAGCTGAATTAATTAGGGAAAGGTGGTATGTAGTAAATGTAGTACTTCTTTATAAAAAAGGATATTAGAAGATAAACATAACCAATGGTCCCTTCAATAATTACCATAAAATATAAAACCCAGAAATCCCACAAAAATATAATTTTCAAAGAACAGAAGTTTGCATGCATATATACTCACATATTTCATTTGAGAACCTCAGTGCTATTTATTTCTATTATAGCTAAACAGAAGATGCCCAAATATATACAAAACAAACAATACAAATTTTAAACATTTTTACAAAGGTGAAAATATAAAGAAATGGAGACTATGGATTTATATATATAAACAATTTACCCCATCTGATGTGAAAACCTAACTGTATTTGATGCAATTATATGTTAGAATTGCAGTGGACAAAACTGATGAAATTCTAATCCTCAATAGCCTACAGCAAATGACTATTAAAATTAATGCAACTTTCAACTATTCTCCTAAGTACTGCTGCTATAAATTTTCTATTTATTAAAACTTTAGGGAGCAAAAGGGACCTCAGTGCTATTTCAGGAAAGAGAATAAACAATTAAATCTTCAATCCCAACTTTTAAAGCTTAGAGCTCTTTAAGTATTCTGCTAATCTAAAACTATTTTTGGTTCATGGCTAACTTTTAAAATATCTTAAGACAATCAATGTGATTTAAGGTCATTTTTCTGTCTGGATAGCACTATTTGTTTGTTTTTGTCTTTATACCAAAGCAGTAAGGCAAGAAAGTGTTTCCTTTTCCAAATCAGATAGAGAATATCTATTTTAAATTCAGGGACTAGAATCACTGTAAATAATCCTTTGACCAACAAGATATTAAGGCTGTTGTGATTTTCCTTGACATTTAAACTGTAACATAAGATTAGCAGTTATTGCCTACAAATATTGAATTTATAAGCATTTGGGCTTCAATCACAGGACATAAATATTGCCATTTGTCTATACTTCAATAATACACAGTTTTCACAATCACCTTTGATAAGTTTGAAGACGAAGTTAGAAACTGCTACACCAAAGCTGAAACAGGAGGACTATGCTACAAGGAAATATGCTCGAGGGGTCGAGTGGTTTTCCAGTATCTGGTCGGTGTTGGCACAGTGTCTGCCCCACTCCAGTGCAGGCCCCACTGCAGCCGTCATGGCACAGGTGTGGCCCTGTAAGGTGCCAGGTGGAATACATCCTGTTTGCTGCAACAGTCTTCTCTGAGGCAAGCCCTTCCGGATATGTGAATGAGAAAATCACATAACCTAGCATGCATGAGATTTTCCAAGATAATTTCCTAACAGGAATGTGGACCAGGCTTTACAGTATACATCTACCAGTGTTAGCACCATGTTTAAGCCTGAAATGAGGTAAAGATAAACTCTCAGATAGCTTTGGGTAAAAACTACAGAAGCAATTCTGATTGGGGTATTTACAGCAGTATTCTTCCTGATCATTAAAATAAGTTGTTTGAAGAATTATTTGATTCCAAGTATATATACCCAAGTATGTATCGAAATCAATTATTCAAAGCTAGGTGTATACGCTTTTAGCAGAGGAAATACAGCAAAATAGAATTCTCATTTTTGAAAGTCAAACTATCATTATTGGCTTGATAAAATCAGATTTTGATAAAATATACTAAGCCAATGTCACAAGACCAGTTTATCAAATGACAATGTCCAGGAATTCCATTTTTCAGGGCATGGTCAGGTTTACGGCAGGTGCTACCTAGTCAACATCCAGCTCCTACAGAAACTACATTAGTCCCTGTGTCTTGCTGGTCGCCCCATTTAATACAAAGGTGAGTAGCTTCTCTCTTACCAACTATTTTAGTCTATGTAGACAACACCACTTGTACTTATCAGTTATATAAAGGAATGGGGAGGGAAAGACCCTAAAACTTATTTAAAATCTTGAAGGGATACAGTTTGTTTCAGCAAATATAGTTAGCGAATAACCAGGCAAGTGAGGGAATTCTCTGATGTAGTTCCTATAAACTGATAAGGTCAAACAATGTGTAAAATAAAGAACTAATGAAAACTTTTCAAACTGCTTTTCCCCCTCTCTTTAATATTATCTAACATATAAGAGAAATATTAGATACAGCTAGCTTGTGGGAGCATAACAAAACGAATTTCTCAAAGAATTACCATTATTTATCAAGTAAAATATAATCTTGTAGTTAAAACAGGACTGGAATTCAGTCTCTAGCCAGGGCTGGTCTCGGTGCTCAGGCAAAAGCATTAAGGAGCAGTGCTTACTGCTCAGGCAGATGCTCATTACTCAGTTTGACCAAGATTCTTAAAAAACACCGGTAGTATTTTTATCGGACTCTGTTAAGATTCAGATGAAAACAGGAGGACTTTCCTCTGCAGCCTATAGAAACATCTTAGGGAAACAGTTTAAGGTTGTATTTAACCTTTTAAAAATTCGGCTGAATATTGTAGATCATTCTTCAGAAAACTCATGTAAACAGTCATTCATCTTTTATAAATATGCTGGTGCTAACTGCACCTAACTGGTAATATACATAGAGGTATAGCTTTGCTATGTCTGCAAGAATGCTGATTAATATATAAGATCTTTCAGTTCCCTGTCAGTCAGTTCATTCACTTCCATGATCTTCTCTAAATGTTCCATGTATCGGCCATGGTCCTGCAGGAAATGAGGGACTCTCATGTTTTCAATAACTGCCAATCCTTTTAAGCGATCTACATCTTCGTAAGAGACCTGAAAAAAGGAAGATGGTTTTAAATGTAAGTAACTTCTTCCCTAAGTCTTAAGTGAAACTTTATGGGGACTGGTTTTCAAGTTACTTTAATACCTGCAAAGTAACAAAAATCAGTAACTTCTTTTACTGTATTAAATAAGAATGTGTTTATCTACCTGCTCATACTATGACCATATTTAAAAACAATAGTACTGATTTAACACTCTATCCTGGACTTATACTCAGTTTGTCTAGAAATTACACAACTAAATGTAATACATGTGTATGAGAGACTCTAAATCTAAAAAAATGTCCTAAATCTAAATAAAGAACCCAGGAAATAGCTAGAATATAAATGCCATGTTATGGCATTAGGAAAATCAGCACAGTTGTATGTTGAATTCCTATTTCTATTTAATTTCAGAAATAAAATTGTTTTATGTTGAATTATTTTGCTGTTGAGTTTTTGTAAGCAAGTATTTTCTACAATTTCACATGTTTTTCATTTACTGCGTAAGAAGCCAATCTTTGGTATTTATATTGAATTTATGGGTAAAGCTTTTTAAGTTCTAGAAACTGTCATTACAACTTTAGATTCCAATACATGGCTGGCTTTAAAAACTACTGTCTTCTGATCAACACTCTTCCTGATCCAGTAGAAAGGCTATAAATAATCATGTTCATGGTTTATTAAGTTTTAATTTTTCAGTTGTTGAAATTATTTTATTAAGTACTTCTACCACTAAGTATAATGAAAATGGGTTTGTTGTTGATACTGGTGTGGTTTAGTAATTTGTTTTCCTTCCTTGACTGAGGGGAGACACCCATAAATATGTTGCTAAAGCCAATTCCAAGAAATTACTGTGTTTCATTTTAGTGTTTTGGTGTTTAATCCATTTTTAGTTTATTTTTGTCTATGGTGTAAGAAAGCAGTCCAGTTTCATTCTTTTGTGTGTAGCTGTCCAGTCTTCCCGGCACTATCTACTGAGGGAAGTGTCTTTTCTCCACTGTATATTCTTGCCTCTGTCACAGATTAATCGAAAAAGGCATGAGCTTATTTCTGAGCTATTCTGTTCCATTAATCTATGTATCTGTTTTTGTATCAACGCCATAGGATTTTGATCACTGCAGCTTTGTCATGTACCTTGAAATCTGGGATTCTTCTTCATTCAGCTTGGTTCTTCTTTATTAAGATGGCTTTGCTATTCAAGGTTGTTTGTGGTTCTATACAACTTTTGGGATTATTCTAGTTCTGTGAAAAATGCTACTGGTATTTTGATGGGGATTGTACTCAATCTGTAGATTGCTTTGCATATTAGGGACATTTTAACGGTATGAATTCTTCCAATCCAAGGGCACAGTATATTCTTCTACTTGTTTGTGTCATCTTCATTTCTAGGTACTTTATCCTTTTGGTACGATTGTAAATGGGACTATTTTCTTAATTTCTCTTTCTGCTTTGTTATTAGTATGTAGAAATGCAACATATTCCTGTGTATTAATTTTGCATCCTGTAACTTTACTGAGTTCTTTTTTTTTTAATATTTTTTATTTATTTCTAGGGGAGAGAGAGAGAGAGAGACAGCGTGAGCAGGGGAGGGTCAGAGAGGGAGTCACAGACTGAAACAGGCTCCAGGCTCTGAGCTGGCAGTCAGCACAGAGCCTGACGCGGGGCTCGAACCCACGAACCAGGAGATCATGACCTGAGCAGAAGTCGGATGCTTAACTCACTGAGCCACCCAGGCACCCCAGGGTTTTTTATGTAGAGTATCATGTTATCTGTTAACAGAGATGGTTTTACTTCTTTCTCACCAGTGTGGATGCCTTTTCTTCCTTTTTCTTTTCTGACTACTGCGGCTAGAACTTCTAGTACTATGTTGAATAAAACTGGTAAGAATGGACCTCCTTGTTTATTCCTGACCTTAGGGGAACAGCTTTCAGTTTTTCACTGCTGGTGATCATGTTGGCTGTGAGTTTTTCATTTATGGCCTTTATTACATTGAGATATGTTCCCTCCATTTGTCAAGGGCTTTTGTCATGAATGCATGATATATTTTCTCAAATGCTTTTTCTGCATCTATTGACAGGATCATATGGTTTTTATCTTTTCTTTTATTGATATGCTGTATCATGACTGATTTGCAAGTACTGAACCACACTTACATCCCAGTAATAAATGCCACCTGATAGTAGTGAATGATCCTTTCAGTGTATTGCTGAATTTGGTTTGCTAATATTTTGTTTATGATTTTTGCATCTCTGTTCATCAGAAATATTGGCCTATAGTTTTCTTTTTTTGTAGTGACTCTGTCTTGTTTCATCATCAGGTTAATACTGGCCTTGTAAAGTGAATTTGAAAATTTTCCTTCCTCTTCTATTTTTTGGAATAGTTGGAGAAGTACAGATATTTACTCTTATGTAACTGGTAGGATTCATCCATGGGGCCATGTGGTCCTGGCTGTTGGGAGTTTTGTCTGTTGGGAATTCATTCATTACTGATTCAATTTCATTACTAGTAATCAGTCTGTTCAAATTCTCGACTTCTTCCTAATTCAGGTTTGGAAGACTATATGTTTCTAGGAATTTATCCATTTCTTCTAGGTTGTCCAAATTGTAGGCATATAATTTTTTGTAGTATTTTATTTCTGTGGTCTGTTGTTACTCCTTCATTTATGACTCTGAGTCCTCTCTTCTTGATGAATACGGCTAAAGGTTTATCAATTTTATCTTTCAAAAACACTAGATTCCTGGCTTCATTCATCTTTCTTTTTTTTTTTGGTCTCTTTTACATTTATTTCTGCTCTGTTCTTTGCTATTTTCTTCCTTCTACTAGTCTTGGGCTTTGTTCTTTCCTAATTTGTTTCTTAAGGTAGGCCTCACTATAAACTTTCCTCTTAGACCTGTTTTTGCTGTGTCTGAAAGGTTTTGGACCACTGTGTTTTCATATTCATTTGTATCCATGTATTTTTTAAAAAATTTCTTCATTTACCCACTGTTTAATAGCAGTAATTCTTAAACCATCCTGAGTTTATTATAGGAAAGGATGAGTAAGTATAATTAATATAACCCTGCAGTTTAAAGAGGTGCACATATGCAATGGGAAGGAAAGTGTAAAAGAACTTTGCAATGTCTGATTTGAATTAGAATGCCCTTACAATTTAAAACAAATATAGATGATTTGTTCACTGAAAAGGTCTAGAAGCATGAGCACTCCAGTCGTAATGAGTTCACCCACCTCGTTTTCTAAATACCATTTCCCACTAAGAGAAATCAAGGCTTCCTTAGAAAAATATCTCATCTGAGATTTGGGTAGAAAAAGTCTAAGATGAGCCCAGAACATTTTACTTTGCCAGCAAACATGAGGACATGTTTTTAAAAAACAACAAAGGAGTAGCCACTGGAAGGGCTGAATAAAAAAAAAAAAAGAGTGTCTCACACTTTTGATTTTGAGGTTTGTGAGATTGAGCCTGCTTGGGATTCTGTTTTTTCCTTTCCTCTCCCCTTCTCTTGCTCATGCGCTCTCAAAGTTTTTTTTTTTTTTTTAAAGACTAAGTCCATAATAATACTACAAAAAAGAGTGAACTATAATAGAAGCCAAAGACCTCTATTTTGCTACCACTAGTATAGTTAACTGATTTGGGCAAAGAACAATGGATATTAAAACCATTCCTTGAAAGGTTTAAGGAATAGTATACATTCATAGGTATCACCTCACAGATTACTTATTTAATACAAAAAAAGATATATACCTTTATAATGGAGTGTTCTGGCAGAAACTAACTTACCCAAGTGATCAAACACAGCATCACTGATAGTGTGATGCACTGTAAAATATACAAATCCCTCAGGTACTGTATTCTTGGTAAAATTGTTTAACTTGAATCTAATCACAAGAAAACAATTTGTTAATCGAGATTATAGGAATTCTCAAAAAAAAAAAAACTTTCCTGAACTCTTAAAAATGTCAGGAAAAACAAAAAGACTTAGTAGAGAGTAGCACAAGGAAGACTGTTACAGATTAAGAGAGACTAAACAGTATAACCAAATGCAATCCTGATTGGATCCTGGCTCACAAAAAGAGTTACAAAGGACATTTTGGGGATAATATGAGAAATAGGAAGTAGACTGTTTTTTAGATTGTATTGAATCAGTGATACATTTCTTAAAAAAAAATCACTTGGTCATGTCAGAATATCTGAGAGATAAAGGGGAAAGTGTTATACTTGCAGCTCACTTTAAAATGCTTTAGAAGGGGCGCCTGGGTGGCTTAGTCGGTTAAGCGTCCGACTTTCGCTTAGGTCATGATCTCACGGTTTGTGGGTTCGAGCCCCGTGTCGGGCTCTGTGCTGACTGCCAGCTCAGAGCCTGGAGCCTGTTTCAGTCTGTGACTCCCTCTCTCTCTGACCCTCCCCTGCTCACGCTCTCTCTCTCTCTAGAAATAAATAAAAAAAACCTTAAAAAAAAAAATTAAAAAAAAATAAAATAAAATGCTTTTGAAAAAGATGTACATTAAAAATAAAATCATGTAATACACTGCCAAATTTCTTTTTCCCTTCATTTACCTCTTACTGTCCACAAAGAAATTCTGAAGATTGGTTTTATAACAGAATCCTATTTCTTCCCTCCAGCTACCACATAAAGGAAACTTACTCCAACACAAAGTATAAAAACAATTTGAACCAGGAAATGATGACCTGGTGTGTTGGGGACTACGTGCCACTGGTCTCACTCACCTTCCCCAAAGCAGTCAGCAGATGAAAGTCAATGGTCTCCCTGTAGCGGAGGATTTGCAGGATGCCATCCAAGTACACCTGGTCTTTACTGAAGCACCCTGGAGGAACCACAGTAGCTTTTATTTTGTGACATTTACTAAAATTGCTAAGTAATCAGATACTAACCCATTCCCTTTACTGCAGGAATGAGTCCTGAGTGAAAATATACATGGCAAATTAGAATTAACTGTCTTCATAACATAAAAATGCAAGGCTTTGGGAAGCACCAGGATAATGTGCAGACTTATGGCTTCCCTTTAAGAATTTTTTCTCCCCAGATCCCCACTCCCATTATTAAAAGAGCATTTTTTTCCAGTTATAAGGAAACACAGGTAATTTAAAGTATAGAAGGACTCATAAATATGTCATCCACATTTTGATCATAACCCTAACTCCCATATACACAGAGGCACTTGGGTCTGGGGGAGGATGGCTATAAAACAGTATATCTCAAAGGTGATGTGGGGACATGGGATCTCGGAAGCTCCTGGTTTTAAAAAATACTACTCCTTACTTCATTAAAAGCAGCTATAGGTAATGTTGATACTATTCCTCCATATGAAAATAAGAGTAAGAACTGGATTTTAACATGGACACTTAAAATCAGAAGAAAATATAAAGACATGGAGGAACAGCCCACGAGAACTGAGACTAGTTAAAAAAGTGTTCCACTTACAAAGAAAAGTTATGTCATGATGGGAGAAAAGGTATGTAAATTTTCTAAAATTTTGCTCTATTAAATGGACTAAAATTCCATCATACATTAAGTCCTATATAAAGAAAGTATTACTTTCTTTAGGCATGCTAATAGCATAGGAATTATGGACAAAAAGTGAGACACATATCTCATAAGCTGTACCTACTTTTCAGCAGGAACAAAACTCTTATTAGAGATACATATTGAAGTACTTATGCATGAAAGGACTTGATGTCTGTAATTGGCTTTAAAATATTATACGAAAACATGAACTTAGAAGAACAGAAGAACCACAGCTAGAAAATGTTTCCTACATTTTCCCTACAACTTTTCCTACAGCTAGGAAATGTCGATAATTACTAAGATTAGGTGACGTTTATGAGGGCACACCATGTTAATCACGTTTGAAATTTTCAATAAGAAGTTTTCTTAAAAAACAGAAAAAAGGACTAGCCTAACGTGATCTGCAAAATGAAAGCTCTGTGCCTCTGGGTACAGAGCACTAAAATACAGAGAAGCTGATCTAAAAAGGAGATGGGGAATGACATACACACTTTTGATTTGAAACTGAGCCTAGAATGGCTTTGCAACATGAAAGGCAGGGGACAGATGTCTTCCTCTTCTCTGCTTCCTGTCTGGTCCTGGCTCTTAGGCACCACACTTTCATACAACTACATCACAGGTGGTTGTTAATGTGGACTCAGCTGGTAACATAATAGTCATCACAGACAAGGTAAGTATTTCCAAGCTCCAGTTTTAAAAACTTTCAGAAGAAAACTTTTTGACAGAATCTTAAAAGTCAAAATGACTTTTAAATAAACATTTCCTAATTCCTATCCTTTTCTCAAAAGCATTTCTGTACTAACTTATAATTATTATTTCATAAAACAAAAAAGCCCCACCAAAGTCTCTGTGGGCAACCTGAAGTTTCAAAGCAGACAGAAACTTTTAAAGTTTCTATTATAGGAGTGTGCTTAACTTAGAACCAGAACTCTTCATGAATATCAATATGCACTGTGACTGTACTCCTGGCCTTTATTTTCTTTAGACAAATAATATAAATAATAAAGTGCTAGAACTCTCTAGTGAAACTGACAAGCAAGGATTACTGATGGATGCTAAAACCAGGAGATGAAACTGTTGGGAAAAAGGACAGTCACACAGTGTCTATCACCTCACGGGTTAACTTATTAAAGAAAAGGTAAATGTGTTTTTAGAAAGGAAAGAGCTGTAACAAGGATAAAAGTCAGCATCTGTAATGATAAGACAGCCTGTCACTAGGTGGCTCCTGCTGTGCAATCTAGTATCCTGTCATATTCTTGCCAAACGTGCTTACCCATAATTCAGTCAAGCACATCCATATTGTGGCATTCTATAAGAACAACAGCCTGGACTGAAAAACATGTCAGTATCACAAAAAAACAAAGGTTTTTTTCTTCTTCCATATTAAAAGAAGCTGAAGAGGCATAACTACCAAAATAATGCATGGCCTCTGACTGGATCTAGATTTTTTTAAAAAATGGCTGTAAGGAACATTTTCCTTATAGCTATTTTTCTTCTGCAAAATGGGAGAGAATATTTGTAAATCCCATAGCTAACACCAGATTTGTAACTAGAACATACAAAGAGCTCTTACAACTCAACAATAAAAACACAAGTTAACCAAAACACAAGTAAATGGAGTAAGGGTCTAAATAGACAATTATCCATAGAAAATAGGTAAAGGACAATGAAAGCACATGAAAAGATGCTCAACATCTGAACCATCAGGGAAATGCAAATCAAAACCCCAATGCGGTGGGACTTCCAGGGAAGATGGCAGAGTAGGATCTGAGGCTCACCTTATCCCAAGATGGACCTAGTCATTAACACCTACATCAGTGTAAATAACCCAGAAAACAACCTGAAGACTGGTAGCTAAATGTAGAGGAGAGGCCATATTGAAAAGGGTAGAAAGGGCAGAGACATGGTCAGAAACCAAACTGACCCAGGAGACTGTCCTCAGGAGAGAGGAACACAGTAAGCATGAAGAAGGGAAAGAGGGTCATTGTAAAGCATAGTGAAGGGAGAGGAGCAGACCCCACACCTGGCACATGGGGGACCTGCACTCCGAAGACAAATCCTTTAACATTTGGCTTTGAAAGTCAGAGGGGCTTAATTTCCTGAGTTCTTACAGTCAGTGGGGCTTAATACCTGGAACTTTAAGAATCACAAATCTCTGGTGTGGGAGAGCTGAAGGGCAATAGGAAGCTGAGTCCCTAACCTTAAAGAGAAAGCATACCAAACAACCCCCCTGAGGTGCAGCACAGAAGCAGCACTGGGGTATATGGGAAGGAGACTTATTTACTAATCTCAGCATGTGTGCTGGACGGACAAGGATCTTTAGAAGACTCCTTCAAGAACGAAAGAGCTCGTGGGCGCCATCCCTCTCCCCACCACAGCCTAGATACATGGACACACGCGGGAACCAGAATAAATACTCTCCACCTGGCTTGCTAACAGTGCACCCTCCCCCTCCAGCCCACCCTCAGCAGGAGCTCTCCAAAGCGGCTACAGGTCCGCACACACAGCACACCTTCGCCCAGCTTGCAAAGCTGTATTCTCCTGTGGATCCACCCCCTCCACCCTGGCCTCCACAGGAGTTTCCCTGAATGGCCACAGGTTCCTTCCAGCAGCAGACCAATGTGCATCTTGCTGGCACCATATGCCCCACCCCAACTACACAGCACTACAAAACCTCTTCTTCATAAGGCCACTACTCTCAAGAGCAGGAGAGGTAGCTGACTTTGAAACTGTTTATGCAATATGCCTGACAGAGAATTTAAAGTAATGGCCACAGAAATACTCATGGACTTGAGAAAAGAGTGGAAGATTTCAGTGAGACCCTCAACAAAAAGATAAGAAACATAAAGAGCCAAGAACAGATAAAGAACTCAATAACTGATATTAAAAATACACTAGTGGGAATAGATAGTAAAGGAAGCAGAAGAATAGATCAGTGACCTGGAGGACAGAGTAATGGAAAGCAAGAAGCTGAATAAGAAATAGAAGACAATAAATGAAAACAGATTAAGAGAACTCAGCAACACCATCATTCATAATAATATTCTAAGGACCTGAGAGAGAGAGAGAGAAGGGGGCAGAAAATATATCTGAAAAAAATAATAGCTAAAAACTTTCCTAATCTGGGGAAGGTAACAGAAATCCAGATCAGGAGGCACAAATGGCTCTCGATAAAATCAACCCAAAGAGGTCTACACCAAGATACATAGCAATTGAGACATGAAGTTAAGATGGTGGAGTAGTATGGAGACCCTGAGCTTGTCACCTCCCTGAAATACAGCTAGATCAGGATCAAACGATTTTGAACAGGGAGGAGGAAATTGATCTGAGGATTAATGCAACAATCTGCATAATTTGAACAAGAGGACTTGGCAGGTATGTGGTATGGAGAGGTAAATTGGGGGACAGAAAAGCCATGGAGCTACTTTTGCGGAGAGAAAGAGAAAGGGGGAAAGTGCAGATCAGGATCATGTAAGAAAAGCACCCCCCACAAAAGTAGGAGAGAAAGAGAGAGAAAAAGTGTGAAAAGAGCCTGGGGACTGGGCAAGAAATCCGTTCCCCAAAACTATTACAGAGTGAAAGGAGGGGGTTCCAGTATCACCAGGACTTGATAAACTGTGGAGCTCAGTCTGAAGTTTCAGAGCACAGTGCCTGGCAGTGCTCCGGTGAGGAAGTGGGGCGAGTCCCCAGGAGCAGTACTCTGAAAGGTCCGTGTGCCATATAGGGAAAAATGACTCCCCTGCTCGGAATGCATTTGGTAGAGGTCTCTCAGTGGGCAAAAGTCCCACCAGACTTTGGAGAGCTGCCACGTTTACTTAAATTGGAACAAAGACACCAGAGTGCAACAAAACCTGGTGCCAGCTGTGTGTCGTGATTTACCATAAACTCTGAGCCTGTGCCGCTGTGGGAGGGCGTGAACATTTTCTGGGACAAGCCAGCACCCAGCCATTGTGCAGCAAGATCTTCCCCCAGAGAATCAGTGCAGGTCTAAACCACAGCAGTCTCTGAAGTGTGGGGTTTTGAAACACTGCCCCATCTGAGATAAAACTCTGGAGGAGGTGCCACCTAGGAGGCAGACAGCTGGAAAACAGGGTAAAGGTGCAGAGTGGACGGAAGGCTAAGAAAAAAGAGGGGTGTTTGATTGCTTGTTTGTGAGGGCACAAAATTCTGTGCCAGCGATTAGAGAGCTGAGTGAAGCCATTTTGCCTCTAGTGGGTGTGGGTACATATAGAGATGGACCCTAATGAGCTAAGCGGAGCCACCAAGTGGAGAACAGAGCTGTTACATCAAGCCCTGCCT